CTCTTTCCCCACTATCTTATTTAAGGAGTGTTGGTGGTGATTAATTTTCTAGTATAGTCTTTAGGCTGTAGTGTGTCCAAGCGGGGTGCCTCTGAACCAGAAGAGGAATCAACCGGCTCAGACACACGGGTGGTCATTGCATTGTTGACATGACCTTGGCTGCAGGATGTTAGGCTGGGACTCATTGCTGTTGCTGAAACTGGGAGGCCAGTAGTCACACAGACTCGAACCCTCACTATGTGTCACAGCAGCTACAAGTCTGGAAACTGGGCTCTCACCAGCTGGATCCCATGTTGCGTTTTGTGACGGGACCAGTGTGAGGTTTGGGAAAGCCACTGTGGCTTGAGCAGGTGGCAGGCATGAGGTTCTGCCAGCAGCCCCTGCGAAGTCACCCACATCGGAGTGGCAGGCAGCCAGGAACAGGGTGGCGGGTCCCCATCTCCTGACCTTGGCTCCCTGGCCTCCATCTCTCTGTAGTAAATGTGTTTCTGGCTAAAATTCCTCAAGTGGTTTTGATGTTCCTGACCAAGCTCTGTCTAATAAACCTGCTGACCAGGGGAGGAACGGTTCTCAGTTCTCTCCTTGGCGGACACACTCCAGCCCTACCGTCTAGCGGGGAAAGAGACCTTCCGGAAGTTGCAGAAAATAAAAAATCCGTGGGACGTGAGGCGGGAGAGGACAGACCACCCTCCCGTCAGTGCTGGAACTAGCTTTTCCCACCCCGAGGCTGCAGGAAACTCCAAGCGTCCCGCTTTGGGGTTGGGCCGTCCTCAAGGGCTGACCCATTAGGGCTCAGTCGGGCCCGAGGGCTCCCCGGGCAAGCGGGACCACGACTGCAGCGCCTCCTCGTACTTCTGGAGCTGGGACCAGAAGCCCGGGTTGGGCTCGGCCACCGGGCGGGCGCTCTTCACAGTCTGCAAACGAGAGGCTTTGGCTAGACACCGCGCAGCGTCGGCTTTAAGCTCCGCGGGCATCCCCAACGCCTGGAGGCCCCGCCCCAACGAGCGGGCCCTCCTCGAAGCCCCGCCCAGGAAGCCCCGCCTCTTCCCGCCGGAAAAGCCCCGCCCACGAGAAAGTCCCGCCTTACCTGGAAGGCCCGCTCCCGCGTGAGGCAGCGATGACGCATGAGGTAGGCGGTGCAGACGGCGGCCGAGCGGCTGCGGCCGTTCTTGCAGTAGACGAGGCAGGCACCACCGGCGCGCACCGCGGCCTCCATGGCGGCACAGGTAGGCTCCAGGTGCGCCAGCAGGTCCTCAGCCGGGTCGTCGAATATGGGCACGCGCAGCTCGGTCACGCCGGACGCGCGGGGGCTGGGCTGCTGGCGCGAAACGTTGACGCACAGGGTGACGCCCGCGCGCTCCAGCAGCTCCGGAGCGGCCGCGGCGTTAGCGCTGCCGAGGAAGAGCGAGGGGGCGACGCGCACGAACGGCGGCGGGGCGGCCTTAGCGGCCCCGCGGCGTCCGGCTTGTTCCGCGTCCATGACCAGCGCTCGGGCCCCCAGCCCGGGTGTCTATTTTGGGCCGTCGGGAGGCCGGCCGGGCGCCCCCCGGGTCCTAGAGGCCTCCGAGGGGCGCCCCTCCCCCCCGGGCGGGCCCTGTAGTGGTTTGCACGAGCGGGCACGCCCACAAAGCCCTGGCCACCTCCTCATTGCCCAGGTCTAAACGGGGGAGGCCTCCTCTGATTGGCTGAGGATGGGGGTTGCGGCCATTGGTTGGCCTCGTCGCCATCGGGAGGGTCTGATTGGCCGGGG